GGATAAAGGATGACGTGCCCAGTAAAGATAGTTCGCCAAAAGTGGTTGAGCCTGTGAGTTCCACCCCGGAGAAAAAAAAAAAAAAAAAAAAAAATCTCTTAGGATTTAATAAGATATATGGTTTAGTTACTCAATTCAGTCAAGTATGTAAATTAAAGAATTAGAATAATTTAAAGTGAAATTTAACTACTGACGAACATATATAGTGATGTGAACTAGCAGTGAATAAATCTTTACAAAATAAAAGTGTCATCAGTCGTCTTTGAAGAACAGATTAGAATCTTGTGTAGTTAGTGCGCTTTGTCATCTGTGTATATATAAGCCACAACAGTCCCTAGAACCTAGATCAACTCTTAGATGTTTATCATATGAATACATCAGCGATGAAAGAGATCAATGGCTCTTGGCCACTGTACAACTGATTTATATGTTTTTCCCCTTATACAAATCTCATGACTAAAAGGGTGAAAAGTCCAACTATTTTCATTTTGTGGAAAGAAAATCATTTTTGGAGTTTTGAAAGTGAAGAGGGCTTAAATGTATTGTTAAATATATTGCAATGTTCTTTCACCTCTAAAAGTTCAAGAGCAGGAGGGATTGAGAACATCTGCAGTCCCCAAGGGTCCAAGGAATGCTCATTACATTTACAGAGTGCTAACTCTGTCATTTCCTGCTATCAGAGTCTTATTTTGTAAATTTTATTGGGTGTTATATTTTTTACTACATTTTTTTACTGTGTCCTATAAGATAATTCTTAGTCTGCTTTTTAAACAGTTTCCTTATGGTATGACCTACATCATCGCTATTTATTTGATCACAGTGTGTATTCCTGATTCCCACTTCCCACATTCTAAGCTGATAGCTGCATAATCCCCAAATATATTCTCACAATGATGAATTCCAATATTTTATGACATCCCAGGAATTTCACTGCCGCTGCCCATCGATAAGAGTGATATCTTTGCTATTTGGTGAGTTCCTCAGAATATTAAGTACATTTGTTAGAAGTATCAGAGGCTGAAAAGAAATATCCCCCACTTATAATGAAACGTTACAAACAACTTTAACATTCAGCAGCAGGAGAATAATTAAGTTATGGTAGAACCATGCTATAGAATAGGATGCAAACCCCACTAAGAATGTAGAATTGAATTTATGGACATGCATTAGGCGCCCACATTAAGTATTATTTTTTCATTTAATTCTCACAACAAATCCATGGAATTTTGTTTTTAGGTAGTGAAACAGACTTGTCCAAAGTCACACAGGTTGTAAATGGTGCTGCAAGAGTAAGGCCTGAATTCTGTGGCCCATCAAATCCATTTCCTTATCCAATTACACTATAGTAGCTCATTAATGTCAAAGCTGTATGTGGATTGTTGACTCTGTTATAGAGATTTGGGACAAGATGGACAGTGTCCTACATAACCTTGGAGAATATGAAAGACTTATGTAATAGTGAAAATAAACACATCTAAATGTCAAAGCTAAATTACATCTAAAATACGGACGTTTCATTCTTCTCATGAATGAAATAACATTTAAGAGCACATTCTAATTCCAGTTACATGTGCTAACCAAGTCAAGAGTTTTTAGGTATCCTCAGAGCTGATTCTCTGTTTAAAATATCAAATTGTGAGTGAGGAAAGAATCATGCTTTTGCCAAAATATAATAGTTCATAGTATGAAATATCATTTGTATGCCTGTTTCTATAACCTATCGTTCTTTTAATGCTTACAGATGGACAAAAGAGAAAGAAATCTTTGCGAAAGAAACTGGATTCACTAGGAAAGGAGAAAAATAAAGACAGAGGTAAGAGACAATAACTAAAGCAAATGTATCTTCCATAGAGCATAATGGTTGGATTTGGTTGGAGTTTTTGAATTGCATAGATTTATGTGGTTCATTTCTATTATGAAAGCTACAGTTTTGTGATTAAGAGATGTTTGGATCTATTTTTCTGTGTTTGAATATCCCAGTGCTGAACTGATTAATTCAGCTGGTTTTAGCACTGTAACTACAGCCAAGTGTGTGGTTCCAATTATTCTGTCCAATCAGCTATGTGTTAAGAGGACCTGGGTTGAGTAGCCTTGGATAGCATGCCTAACACTAACCAGCTGTCTGGCAAATCTAGACAATTAGGCAGGCCTAGTTGAATGAGAAAAGGTTTGGATTTGCCTACTACCACTGCAAGAAAGAAGCAGTCTCCACCTCATGATTCACTGAAGATGAGCCAGCCACAGCATTTTTATGTTAGAGTACAGAATGCTTGGTTGGTGCTCCATAAGTTTTGGCAATTACTGATTTTCATCATAGTGATTTGTGTCCATTTCTATGACTGTTTAGGAAAACAGTGCTTCAGCCACTCTTTCAGAGACATATGTGGTCATTTTGAACTTGTGCTTTTTAGTTGTAAATGGAACCTGGACCCCATTAGCATAGACCCATTTAAAAAAATAATATTTTTACTGATTCTTTGAGTATTTTGTATGGGGAATTTTGATCATATTCAGACCCATTCCCCACCTCTCAGATTCACCCCTACGTCCCTCTTTCCTCCTCCCAACAGAATGGATTGTGTTGAAAAGAGTGAATTAAAGATGGAAGACAAAGTAGAAGAATTGGATCACTCAGTAAAGGTCAATGAGGTTTTTGTAATATGTGAAAGGAACACAGGAGAATTTTGGAACACCCAGAAAATCCCTAAACTTCTATTGATGGGCATAGAAGGAGAAGAATACTGTAGTGAAGGCATAGAAAATATGTTCAACAAAATCATAGAAGAAAATTTGCCAAACCTAGAGAAAAAAGATTCCCATCCTGGTACAAAAGGCCTACAGAGCACCAAAGAGAGAGGACCAGAAAAGAAATTCTCCATGACACATAGTTAATAAAATACGGAAAATATAAAGGAATGGTATTGAAAGTTAACCCATGAGAATAACACCGGATTATATGACAGCTCATTTTTTCAGGTTTTTAATTATTTATTTAATAACCACATAATTAGAAGCATTTCATTACAACAGAATTGACATATTCAATAACAATTTCCAGAGCAAAGATGCATCTCTTTCAAAATAGGGTATAAATTTTTAGGTTC